GTGCAGCCACTTTGGAGATCAGTATGGAGATTTCTCAGGAAAATGGGAATCAGTCTACCACAAGATCCAGCAATTCCACTCTTAGGCATATACCCAAAAGATGTACCCTCATACAATAAGGACATCTGCTCAACTATGTTCATAGCAGCATTATTTATAATAACCAGAACATGGAAACAACCTATATGCCTCTCAACTGAAGAGTGGATAGAGAAAATGTGGTACATTTACACAATGGAGTACTACTCAGCAGGAAAAAAAATTGGAATCTTGAAATTTGCTGGCAAATGGATGGCACTAGAAGAAACCATCCTGAGAGAGGTAACCCAGTCACAAAAAGACAAGCATGGTATGTACTCACTCATATATGGATTTTAGGCATGGAACAGGGGAGTGCCAGCCTACAATCCCATAGCCAGAGAGTCTAGGAAACAGGGAGGACCCTAAGAGAGATATGCATGATAACCCAGAGAAGAGAACAGGACTGAATCTTCTGAGGGGACTGGGAGTGGGTGAGGAAGTTGGGAAAAAGAGGGGGTGAAGAGGAGGGGAGAGGAGGACATGGGGGAGCAGGAAAGTTGAGTTGAGAGAATAGAGGAGAGAAAGATGAGATACCATAATAGAAGGAGCCATTATAGGTTTGAAGAGAGATCTGGCACTAGTGAGATGCCCAGAGGCCTACAAGGATGGCACCAGCTGGCAATCTAACCAATAGAGGAGAGGCTACCTTAAATGCCCTTCCCTGATAACATAATTGATGACTTCCTTGTGTGCCATCCTAGTGGTTGAAGGATACAGAGGCAGACACCCACAGCTAACCAGTGAACTGAACTCCTGGAACTCAGTTGCAGGGAGGGCGGAGTGATGAGCAAGGGGGTTAAGACTTGGCAGGTGAAACCCACAGAAACAGCTGACCTGAACAAGGGGGAGCTCATAGACCCCAGACTGATGACTGAGAGGCCAGCATGGGACTAATCCAGACCCCCTGAAAGTGGGTGTCAGTGAGAAGCCCTCATCATTGTTTGGGACATTGGGCAATAAGATCAGCATTTAGCTCTGTCATCCAGATGGACTTTGAGAGCCCATTCCGCGTGGAGGGATGCTGTCTCTGCCTGGACACATGGGGGAGGGCCTAGGCCCTGCCCGGGATTATATGACAGACTTTCAAGATCCCCCATGAAGGGCCTCATCCTCCTTGGAGAGTGGAGTGGGGACTGGGGGAGGAGTTGGGGGAAGGTTGAAGGGGGGTGGGAGAGGAAGGGAGGGAGAAGGAGCTGGGATTGACACGTGAAGCAAACTTGTTTCTAATTTAAACTAAATTTAAAAAAGGGGGGGCGGATAAACCATATTGTGAAAGCCTACTGGGTTGTCAACTGCCTGTAATCTCAGCACTTGAGAGGTTGAGACAGAAAACTGGAATTCAAGGTCATCCTTGGTTACATAGTGAATTCAGGGACAGCCTGAGCTACAGGGGATCCTGCTACACACACACACACACACACACACACACACACACACACACACACACACACACACACACGATACCCCAAATATATTAATATATATATATACTTTCATGTATATATATATATATAATTAGCACATTAGTAATTAGTAAAGTATAATTTGCTTTCTATATTGGCAAGATTCATGAACCACACAGTCTTACGATGACAACAAACCAATCTAGAAAACACTAATGATTAGAACTTCAGGCACCAAAGGTACCAATAGCACTGTCCTGAAATGCAAGATGAAATACTCAAAAGTTCGTTTTCCTACATAATCCAACCAAGTATCTCAGGTGAGGACAGTCTCTTGCTGCCCTAGGACAGAATTAATCTGGATTCTGGTTGTTCCATCCTGCCCCATGAAGACTTTATATTCTACTACATTTTTCATTTTACCCTGCGTGTAGCCTTCAACAGGTAAGAACCTCACGCATACAAGGAAAATAATGTTTAAGTCTCACTGTCTAAAACCATACATGGACTACAAAAAATGTACAAAGATACTATTTTCACCACAACTGAGTAAAGTAACTGAATGTTATTTTTTCTGAGTTTTGAAGTTTCTATTTGGTCTTCCAACAACGTTCCACAAATATATTCTTATGTCTCAAGTCATGGCAAGATTTTAAAGTACATATAATGCCAAACATGAGCATTAGGTCATCAGACTTTCAAAACTTTGCATTTTCTTCTCTTCATTCAACAAGTACAGCTGGCACCAGTGAAGGATGGAGATGATGGCTTTCAAGATGTACTGTGATTATTCCAGTGTCATGGTGACTCAGTCCCCACTGTCTCTTTGTGTAAGGAGTGTGCTCAGTATCTGGCAATGGAAGCTTTAGCAGAGCACTCCTAGTCACCACCTTTCTTTAAAGCAAAACTCAAACACAAAACAAAATCAGTATCCAATCTAGAACTGTCATTGATAATTTTACTTAAAATTTCCAGAGAGGAGCACAAAGAATCTATAAATCCAATGAATTATTCTCTCACTGTAGATATCAACGGGATTTTAAGCATTTCTGATATTTTCAGATGGAGTAGCATTCACTTGACGATCAATCAGAGCCAATATAGAAGCTCTCCCTATGTATTCTCACTGAAGTTAAGAAGGCACCACCAGAACAGGACTGTTCAGTTCACACGCTGCAATAAGCAGCATGTATACTTTCAATTTATTATCTGTTGCTCAGAGGGCTATTCAAAAGCACCAGAAAAATAACATTTAAAAATTGTGCCCAAAAGCCAGGCATTGGTGGTGCACGCCTTTAATCCCAGCACTCAGGAGGCAGAGGCAGGCAGATCTTTGTGAGTTCAAAACCAGCCTGGTATACAGAGCAAGCTCCAGGACAGGCTCCAAACAATACAGAGAAACCCTGTCTCAAAACAAAACAGAAAACCCAGATGAACCAGGAAGGCCTAAATCTGAAGACATGCCTTCCTTGGTTCCTTGGAGCAAAGTACTTTGAATCACAGGTATGGCCTTTACTGATAAAGTCACCCACACAGCAGCCCTAAGCCACAGGAAACTACTTAAAATAGTTATTGGGCTGGAGAGATGGCTTACCAGGAAAAGTTACTGTTGCGTCTGAGTTCAATCACAGGACCAACGTGACAGTAAGAGAGAACAGACTCCCACAAATTGTCCTCTGACTTCCATACACATGCTGTAGCATGCACAGCCCACACACAGAAACACATTCACACATAAATGAATAAGGAATAAAAATTTAAATTCTAGTTTCTTAGTTACACTAGCAACATTTCTAGTACACAATAATTACTGCACTGGATAGTGAAAACACACAATGCGCATGTCACTACAGGACATCCTATTAGTATCATAAACACAGTTTCAAGTAGCAGTCTCTCAAAGTCACAGAATGTCAAAATTGCCATCATATACTTAGTTTTTCTAAGAATTGATACTATAATGATTATTTTAGGTATAGTAACCACATGCCATTGCTTCTTCAGAACTCTACAAATATTTCTTAAATTTGTGTTACTTTATATAACATGAGCCAGCGAAAGAAAAGGTAAATGCAGCAATTTCAGGTATGGTAGAGCCTGACGGCAGCCTAATGAATATACCATGCTTTTAAATTCATTCATCAGCCCATGAACATTTTTACTTCATAAATGAGACAAACCCTTTGTTACATAAACCACATTGTGATGGCTATTCTTTCTGTCAACTTGACTACATATGGAATTAACTAAAACCCAAGCAGTTGGGTACACCTGTGAGGGATTTTTCTAGAGCTGGCTCTGGTGATGTGAATGTGGATGACCCAGATCTGAGGACTTGAGCAGAACTGACCCTGCTCCTTGCTGCAGGCTGCATTTCATGAGCTAGCTGACACAGTGCTGGAGAGTTCGCCTGGGCAGTGCCCGTGAGGGTGGTGTACTGATCAACCTAGCTACCACCCAGGCCCAGAACCAGGGCTATGAGCTGGTCTACCCAACATCCACAATCTATGAACTGTTGGAGTATATTAAGGGGACAAACCTACAGATCCCAAATATCAGGATAGCCAAGAGGAACCCTAGTAAGAGCCCATTATTAGTAGTGTAGCAAAAACCAGAGAACCCAGCCAGACCAATGACATCAGGCAATAAACACTGGCAAGTAAAGGGTAAACTGTGTGACTCAATAGGCCACACTACAGCTTTTCCTACTTTTTGTTGTTTGGCTTTCGGTTTTTCTTTTAAATTTGGTTTTGATTTTGGGAGGAGGTTGCAAGGGCAGAGAGCAGATGTAAGGGGACAGGGAGATAAGTGGGATCAGAATGCATGATGTAAAATCCACACACAAAAAAATCAGTAATAGCTAAAAACAGTTACCAAGAATTACAACGAGAATAAGAATATACACAGTCATATATGGTCATTATATTTGCAGTGGCTCATCTTCATTGTCAACATAACTGGAGTTGGAGTACATAAGGCACATGCCTCTGAGTATGTTTACTGGGGTGTTTTCAGAGAGGTTTAACTAGAGAATAAAGCTACTTCTTGAATATGAAAAAAAACATTTGAAATTTGAAGAGTCACCTTTAATATGGGTCACACCCTCTACTGGTATCCTATATAAAGTGCATGGAAAAAGGGAAGCACGTGCCTGCTCTTCAGTGACATCAGAACCTACTTCAGGATTCATGCATCTACTGAAGACCAGAAGAGACACTGAGCCCCACGGACGGCTGGATTATGGACGGCTGGATTACTAGACTTTCCAGTGGTAGACAGCCACTGTTTGACTAGCAAGATCACAGCCTGTAAGCTGCTCTAATAAATCCCATCTTCATTCTATCAGTTCTGTTCCTCTAGAGAATTATGACTAATACACACATGTACCGAATTTTGATGCAAGAAAAAGACATACAAAAAGCAGCCTCTGTATGCAGTGGACAGTTCTTGTGAGCAGAGCTTCCTTTCTCAGGAAGTCTGCTGTGCTTCCCTTTCCTGTGTCTGTTTGCTACTCACCATGCTCCAGATGAATCTGCATGTCCCACTGTGTGCCCTTGCTGGCTCCTGGCACCATCTCTGCTAGGAAGGGAGTAAACCCTCTGCACTACTACTTGGACCCCGACTCCAGACCATGGGCCAGCTCTTTGGCTTTCCACAATGTCCAGAAGAGAATTCCTCAGGGGAGCACCAACTGCAAGATGTTGGTCTGCCTTGTCATTCCCATGGGTCCAGGCTGTGCCAGTGGTGGCTGGGTCACTACATGCAATCTGTTCAAGACATGCAAAAGGAGCAGTTTCAGTTTGGCTTATTGTATCGTCATGAGGTTATTGCCAAAGCAATGGCAGTGCATGAAAGAAACATACAAACACATAGCATTGGCATCTAGCCTGTTGAAGAGTGGAGGTGGGTAAGGGCAACACAGCAAAATCCCTTCTACTAACTACCAAGTAGACAGTCCTACTATCAATTACTTCATGGGAATAGTTTCCCTTTTTGATTTGTTCAGCAAGAATGAATACAGTTTAATTAAAATGACTCATTTTATTAGTGCTTGAATGTGTAATCTACTATTTAAAGCACTTTGCACATTGGTGCATTCTTCCAACAACTATACAATAGTATCAGTGATTATAAGTCAATGGTACTTTTGAAATACTTATTAGGGGCTGGAGAGATGGCTCAGAAGGTAAGAGTACTGACTGCTCTTCCTGGACCTGGGTTCAATTCCCACCACCCACATGGTGGCTCACTGTCTGTAAGTAACTACAGTTCTAAGGGACATACATGCCCACAAAACACCAATGCACATAAAATAAAAACAAATTTTTAAAAAAGAGGTTGGAGAGATGGCTCAGTGACTAAGAGCACTGACTGCTATTCCAGAGGACCCTGGTTCAATTCCCAGCACCCACATAAGGACCTGACACTCATGGTAAAACACCAATACACATAAAATAAAATAAAAAAGAAATACTTGATTTTTTTAGACTTCATTCTTTACATACAAAAATGTATTCTCACAATGACCCTAACTATTCTCATAGATAAAATTGAGGCGCAGAGAAATTGCCTAATGTGACCTAGCATAAAGCTGCTGAGGCAGTAGGTGAAACAAGGCACATGCTTCCCAAAACCCTCTCTTATTTTTTGTTAGTGTCAGTGGTAACTATTTGCATACATGTGTGCAGGCATCTTTGGAGGACAGAAGCAGGCATCGGCTCTCTTGCAGCTACAGTCAAATTCTACTTTTCAGATACTTCTGATAGTCAGTGGAAGATGTTTATAATATGGTTCAATGCAGGGTGAAGGTTTACCTACTTACTGCTTTTCCTCCTTCTTCCTTTTAATCTCAGTGTTGTGTTCCATGGTGAACTGGTAATCCAGGGAATTTGAGGCCAGTGTCTGAGAGTTTTCCTAGACACATACCCAGCCCACTACCAGTGAATTACTGTGAAACGCCAGTAATTCCAATTTTGGAATAGCTCAGACCCCGACCCCAAGCTCCATTAAACGAATCTCTATCATGTAACGTCTAACATAATTATAAAGCTTTATCTTAAGGGATATAGACATACAAAAACAGAAAATATAATAAATAAAACTTAAAATTCTTCATTTCAAGATGAAAATAGAGAGAATACTCCCTGAGTCCTGAGCATGCTAACAATAACCCCACTGAAAACTTTCATGCTGTAGTACACTGAAATAAAGATTACAGCTACATAATCAAAGGATGGAAAATTATCATGAGACCATGACTAAATGTTCCTTGAGTTTTCATATTTTTGGCATAATAATGATAACAACACATTCTGGTATATGTAGTTCGGGACAGAAGTTTAATATTCTCACTTTCAAATCCAGATATCACTATTACAAGTGTAAGAATCATAAGCCAAAGAGAATTTACCTGACTTCTTGATGAACTGCTTGTTGTATCCTCAATTCTAAACATCTGGGCCAAACTTATATTTCTTCTTGGAAGAGGTGTGTCCTGACAGTATACTTCACGCACTGTTTCTTTTGCAACAGCCTTCTGACAAAAGTAAGTATTCAGAATAATGGAGCAACTTCCATTTGGGATAAGAAGTTTTTGCCTAAAAAAGAAAAAGAAATTCATCAGTTTATTTACAACTTGGGTTCTCCTTATATTTTTGGGAAACAAGGAGTGCTACAATTAAAAGCAAGACAGTTCATAAATTACAGCACTCCTAATGATGAGTAAGACCACTCGTGCCATGACATTAGATACGTAAGAGCCCATCAGTCTAGGAAGAGAGAGCCATCCCTAATAATCACCAGCAAGGACCACGCCTGTCAGCAGAAAGAACGGCCCATAGCAACCAAGTCTGACTCAAGGACAGGACCTTACTTTTCCAGCGCATGTCTTACTCTAGTTATGTAAGTACTTAGACTTGTGCCCTCTCAGAGGGAACCAGTACTCTCATGAAGAAATGCAGAGAAAAATGGGCAAAGACTATGAGTATCAAATAAACACTTGAACATTGAATTGGTTACTATTTACACTAAAATCTTTATGTTTCAAGCAGGTCTAATCATCATTCAAAGAATATAAAATTAAATGATGAAGGACCCTTGGTACCAGCTAGTCACAATCATTAACATTATTGGTGCTAAGAGGGACAAATAAGCTGAAAATATATTAAACAAAATTCTGAGGTTCTTTTCAGCACTCTTAATGTGATATGTCACTTCAATGCACAGTCTTTAAATCAAAATGTGTGGTTAATAAGAAATACTTAAAAGCTCAGGTTTTGGAAGGAAGAATTTGACAAACGTTATCTTATTCCTCTCCTTAAACAACAATGGTGAGGAGAAGGCAGAACACCAACTAGGGAAGGGGGAAAGGGGGAAAGAGGGGGGGGGAGAGAGAGAGAGAGAGAGACAGAGAGACAGAGACAGAGACAGACAGACAGACAGAGACAGAGATCCTTAGGACCCCAGAAAGAACACAATATCAAGGGCAGCACTGAATCATTTCCCAGACCCTCATTTCTCTACTCCTACAGTTTAGGACCCCTTGCCTAGGGAATGGTGCTATCTACAGTGGCTAGAATTTCCCACATCCATTAACTGTGACAACCCCCATACACACACGCACAGACCAAACCAAGTAAATAATTCTTGGTTGAGACTCTCTTGCCAAGTGATTCTCTGTGGTGCCAAGTGGACAAACTATGCTATCACTGGCCCCAACAAGAGTCGACTTCTCTAATCTAAGGGCCAAAGAAAAGGCAACTTTAGCAAGCCAGCAATCTCATGATATTGAAAATCTCTTTGAGATACAAAAAGGAAACTCAACTTAATGAATGACAACTAAAGTAAATGCTAAAAAGGAAATCAAGACACAGTGTCAAAAGTCCTAGACAGTAATGCAAGGTACAGGAAGAAAAGAATAAGCACAAATACTAGTTTTAAAAAAAAACTAAAATATGACTTTCCCCACATGCAAATTTTGAGACAGTTTTCATGCTGTGCACACTGGCTTCAAACTCTATATGGTTGAGGATGATCTTGAGCTTACGATCTTTAGAACACTATTTTTGTTGTAGAACCTCACTGCCAATCACACACACACACGCACACAAGCCCCGAAATAAATGGATAAACAAATAATTGCCCAAGAACCTGAAGATAACTCCTAAATCTACTGAGTTCAGTTAAGGTTTTAGAATGGAAGAAATAAAAATCAAGTACATATATACATTGGCAAGAAACACCTGGTCACTACAATTATAGCTACAGTAATAAGCTGGGCATGGTGATGCATGCCTAAATTGTAGCACTCATTAAGCTGAAACAAGGGAACCACAAGATTTAGGGCAGTGTGAATTATACAGAAAGATTCTGGAGAGCTAGGGAGGGAGGGAAGGGGGAAGAGAAGGAAGGAGAGGAGTGGAAGGAAGGGCGAAAAGAGAAAGAGAAAACACAAAAATGAGAACAATTATACGGAAAACAAAGGAACTAGAATAATTTGAAAATGAACAGAGTGAAGAAAAAAATTCTGCACACAGGTAGGGGTACATGATTGATGCAATATGTGTATACATACAGATTTATCAGTAATTCACTGATATGTTCAAATACACTAAACTATAAAAAGCATGTAAATGAAAAATTATCTTAGTCCCTTTATTCATTTGATTTAACTCATTCCCTTTTTAGAAAAAGCTGTGGTGTAGCTTTTGAATGCAAAGTGGAAGCACTCCCTACCAGCAAGCCAAGCTCCAAGCACTTCCTACCAGCAAGCCCCAAGCACTCCCTACCAGCAAGCTTGCAGCCACCATACTTGCCTAGGATCCAGAGGGTAACAGTAAAAAAAATGGAACACCTACCCCAAAGACAGGACCAGATACTTACAGGAAGAAACACTTTAAATTCCATATCCCCTGAGTTCTAGACCCCCAGCACAAAAACACAAACAGCCAAGACAGCACCCCACTGCAGAATGCAGTAATCCTATCAGGGTAGTCCTTAAGAAAGGTCATATACATGAAGCACAAGACAAGGACTTCAGAAGAGCAATCATATCTGCTAGGATATGAATAAATCATTTAATGAAGACTGTGCAATCACAAAGAAACAATTGAATGAAATAATGAAAACAGTTCAAGACATTAAAGTAAAAATAGAATCACTTAAGAAAACCAAAACTGAAATAAACTGTGAAGGAAAAATTTAAGCTGTCAAACACAAGCCTCAGAGGTAAGAGTTACCAACAGATTACAAGAGCAGATCGCTAGTGCTGAAGACAACCCTAGACATTGATGCACCAACCACAAGGGCACCTAAGTGCGTAAAAGAAACATGACTGCTGCTACAATCACTATTAACTCAAATACAGTAATAGTGGGAGACTTCAAGACACATCTTTCTCTGATAAACAGGTCACCAGACAAAAATAGACAGAGAAATGTTGAATTAACCATCATTATAAATCAAATGGACCCCAGAAGATATCTCCAGCACATTTTACCCCAAAACAAAAACATACACTATCTTTTCAGCAGCTCATGGAACTTTCTCTGAAACTGACCACATATTAGGAAACAAAGAAGTCTTGACCGACACAGAAAATTGAAATAACACTCTGCCCTGACCACCATAGAATAATGCTGGCATCAACAACAGAAAGTATAAAAACTGATGGAAACTAAAAAGCTAACAAGTCACTTGAAACAGAATTTTAAAAAAAGTCAAGACAGAAATCAAGAAGGAAATTAAAACCTATTAGAGAATTGAAAACACAACACATCCAAACCTAAGGGACACTTGGATCAATGGAATCGAATTGAGGACCCAGATGTAAGTCCTCCTGGTTTTTGACAAAGAAGCCAAAACATAGAGACTGGTAAAAAGACAGCAATTTAAACAAACGGTGCTGATCAAATTAGGTGGTTGCATATAAAATGAAAATAGATCCACATTTATCACCCTGCACAAAACTGAAGTCCACATGGATCCAGGGACTGAGCATTAGAATGCATACACTGACGGCGACAGAAGGGTACTATTGGATCTGTTTTAACTCACTGGCAACAGAAGGGTACTATTGGATCCGTTTTAACTCACTGGCACAGGAGGAGGACTCCTGAACTAGACACCATTACCATAGATACTAAGACCAACACCCAATAAGTGGGACCTCATGAAGAGGATAGGTTTCTGTATGGCAAAGGACACTATCATTCAAGCAAAGTGGCAGACTACAGAATGGAAAGATATCTTTACCAATTATTCATCTGAGAGAGGGTTAGTGTCTAAAAAATATAAAAAACCAAGATAAAAAACCTGAACATCAAGAAATAACTTACTGTTTCATATTTTACTCTTTTGACTTTTTGGGGGGCCTGCTGTCTAGCACCCAAATAAATCACCCACAGAGGCTTATTCTTAGTTATCAGTTCCCTGCCTTAGCTTGGCTTGTTGCTTGCCAGCTTTCCTTAACTTAAATGATCCCATCTACCGTTTGCCTCTGGGCTTTTCCCTTTTCTTACTTCAGTATACCTTACTGATTTCACTCTCACTCCATGGCTGGCTGTGTGGGTGAGTGGCTTGTCCCTGATATCCTCTTCTCCTTGTTCTCATGCTCCTCGATCCTTGTCTCTCCTCTTATTTATCCTCTCTGCCTGCATACCCTGCCTAGCCTTGCTCCTGCCTCACTGTTGCTATTCAGCTCTTTATTAGGAGCATTATGTGTTTTAGACAGGCAAAGAATCACAGCTTCACAGAGTTAAACAAATGCAGCACACACCTTAAAATGTTCCCCAACAATAACTGAATTTAAAATTGGGGTACAGAACTAAACAGGCAGTTTTCAAAAGATCAATGTTCAACATTCTTAGCCATCAGGGAAACAGAAATTAAAACTACTTTGAGATTTCATATTATCCCAGTCAGAATAGCCAAGAACAATAGAACAAATGAGAGCACATGCTAGCAAGATTCTTGGGAAAGTGAAACACTTATTGATTGCTGGTAGGAATTCAAACTGGTACAGCCACTATGAAACTCAATGTAGCTATTCCTCAAAAAGATGAAAATACATCTACCTGAAAATCCAGATATCAACTCTTGGGCATATGCCCAACAGACTCTACATCTTATTCCAGAGATACTTGCTCATTCAAGTTCACTGCTGTTCTACTGATAAGGAAACCGAAACAGCCTAGCAGTCAATCATCTGATGAATGGGCAATGAAATATGGTACATTTACACAGTGAAATATTCTGCTGTTAAAAAATGAAATTTGCAGGTAAATGGATGGAACTAGAAAAAAATCATCCTGAGTGAGGTAAGCCAGACTCTTCTATGTGGATGTTAGCTTTTAAGCCTTTGATATGTGTGCATAAACATAGAGATTAGTAAGGAACTACACAGGGGGAGAGGATCTCACAAGGAAAGGGAATATATTGTTAGGGAAAGACTAGGGTGGGAAGGTTAAATGGGGAGGGGAATGGAAGAGAGGGATAAGGTAGTGAAAACCAAATTTTTTATTCTGCTAAATGGACACAGTATTAAAAGGACCCTTAATAACATCCCACAATCCCCATAGATCAGTGTCTTGCTCAGTCA